ATTAGATTTAGGGTTAGGTTAAGGGTTAGGTTTAGGGTTAGGTTTAGGGTTAGGTTTGGGGGGGTTAGGGTTAGGTTTGGGGGGGTTAGGGTAAGGTTTTCGCTTTATTTTTACATTTTTCGATCACAGCGCGATGTTTTCGTCGCGCTGTGATGACGTCAAATGCGCGCTTTCGTCGAGCGCGATTTTGTCCTCCACGGTTTTGACGGGTCATGAATAATTACAATAAATATAAGAGATTTAAATTAGTAAAATTCATAGTTTCTAATAACCAGATTTTAAGAAGCTTATTTAATTCAAGAAATAATAATTTAAAATGTTTTTGGATTTTTATGTACATGTATCTAATTTTATCCTTTTTCAGTTTCTATATAAACAGGAATTAAAGTGATAAGACCTGGCTGGATATAATGCATAGGAGCAAAAAATAGTATGGGTAATACAAAGAGAATTGTTATACATAAAAAGAAAAAAACTGCAACTGACTTTTTTATTGCTTAGTTTTCTCCTTTCTGAATACTTTCCAAATTTTCAATTTATTTTTCTAACTAACATACACATATATCCTGCAACAGTTTACATCATGGACTGTTCCCATGCCCAATGCCCCGCTCTATAAAATTCTTTAGCACTCTACTTGCCCCCCTCCCAGATACATTTAATTGCCATTCCTTTTCTTCTAAAGAATACATCAGTTATTTTGGTGATTTGTCTTTAATTACCCCCGTAACATTGGCAAAATACAAAATTTTCCCAAACAAAATGTGTACGTACAAATTCAGTGAATTGGTCTTTGAGCCTGGCATGAAATTTATCAATAACATTTTTATACTTCTCTTGTTCCACTTCTTCTCTGAAACAATATACACAATACATATATCATGATAAATCTATGCTTAAATGAACACATTAAACTAATTTGTACATGAGGCGGTACAAATTCTTGTCACTGTATTTTATCCTACTAATGGTTGATACATAAGATACAATGCCAAATACCTAACATTTTCCTGTTAAAAAATGTTATTGTAACTTACAATGCTAAAAAGTTTTCAATTATCATTCTTGGGTTTGTACTTTTGCTGCTAGCCAACATGTTTCCTGCAATAATTCTGATATCACATAATTGCTACTATTTTTTTTTCAAATTTCCCAGTTTTCCTGCAGTCCTGATATTTTTTTTGCAGTCTCCTATCATAATAGTGACGAGGCCGAAGCCTGCTTAAATCTTGCTTAGCATCCAGATGATGTTGATAAAAATTATTATCATAAATATAACAATTTTCTATGATGCATATTTTTCAGAAAAAAGCTATTATTTAAAACAAAGTAATCCTTTTATTATGTTTTTACAATATCTCCAAACAGTGCAACAGCACCAATTCAAATTTTAAAAAGTGAAAAAGCAGATTGAGTTATGTTACATTTAATATCACAGCACAATTTTCAGTCATAAGGAGATTGTCAATCATAAGAAAAGATACTTACTTGTAATCTGTTGTTATCTTTTCAAGCTCCTTCAAAACAATGTTTTCCTTGGTAACATGTCTGGTAACTTTTGTTCGCTTCTTTGGAACTTTTTTTGAAACTAAATGAAACGAAAAACAGAGTATTAATACATTTGGTTATTATGGGTCCAAGCCTATCTAAGCTTCCCAAAGATACACAATTTAAACTGATGCACATGAAATGTGAAGTCCTACAGTTTTACTCAGTTAATATAAAAATCAAGATCAGCAGGTCTGGTACTACACACAAAAGTACTACACACCATTCTAATGCTGTGGAGAAAGGAAAAATGATTTACCTGGATGGTTTGTCTCCCTTTCTGGTAAAGCATTCTTTTTTACACGTGATTTAGGTTTTTTCTTGGGTATCTATTAGATCAAAGTTAAGGAGCATATTAGTTAGCAACCTATGTTATTAAAATGTGTTTGAATTTAGTAGCTCAGTTTGTCAAGCTCAGTGCTCAACCAACAGCCTGTGATATTTCATTTGGCAGGCACTTTTTCAAACTTACTCAAACTATAAACTTTATCTAGATGTACATTGCTTAAATTTTTAGTAAATTCTCATAACACCTATAAAAAAAACAAGGTATACACTATTAGAGTACACTTATATAATTCTTTGCAACAACACCCCATTAACTTTGAATACTCTATAGCTGCACTGCAGCAAAAATAAATTGAAAACTATTTTTTTTACAACTAGTGGACTCTTTTAATGAGTATATGGTTTTTAATAATCAGCCTGAAGTATGTGCTTTGCTTCATTTTTATAATAAAGAGTTTCATATCCGATATGTGACAGAGTAAATACTGGTTTTTAATAAAAACATTTAAAGATATATTGATCAACGAAACGTTAAAATAAATTACATAAGTCCTCTCCTAGAAAGTATAAAAGTTCTAAGAAATTACATATAATTATATAATGGTAATTATTAGGAATTACTATGCTGAAATGAAGGTAAAGACATGTTAATAAAATAATATTAAAGGATTCTTCAAGAATCTTTGCTATCTATTTTTTAATCAACATGATTTCCTAAACCAATTACCTGCTAACAGATTTCTGCAATGAATGTAAATTTTGTTGACATGTTGAAAATAATTTAGGAATTATTTTAATCATTTTTACATATTCACTAATGCAGTCAAATTCTATTAGAATAAGAAAAACTCTTGAAGCTATATGAAATGTATACAAAATATGCAGAAAATCATGCAGAATAAATGAATGATAAACAGGAACTTTATGTTATCATTGCTTACAATTTATTATAATTAAAACTAAACTTTTTTAAAGTAGCTAACTCCACTGAGAATATAAACATAAGTAACATATACAATAGCATACTAATTATATTATTACTAATGATACCTGTACGATAGACACCGTAAAAGGGTTTAGAAGTATTCAGATTCATAATTAAAGACTTATGGCCATCAGCTCATAAAATCTATTTTATCACTCATGGATAAAAAATAATAAAAAAGTAAAACAAGTCCATTGCTGGGAGAAAGTGGCAAGGTGGTGACAAGCAACAGGGAGAAAGCAGAACTACTTAACTCAGTTTTTGCAACTGTCTTTACACAAAGGGAAAAAACAGTCTAACCTATCAAAAACAGTACCACAAAAAACAGATCAGAAACAAAAGTTAAAATAGCGAAGAAAGGCATCTGTCTACCCTTGATGAATTCAAATCACCAGGACCGGATGGATTACACCCCAGGGTTCTGAAGGAATTAGCAGATGGGATCTCAGAACCATTGAACCAGTGGTGGGTTCCGGGCGGTACGCCACGGTATGGGCATACCAGTGGTAGCTGGGAGCAGCAGCCACTGTACTGGAACAGTGTTTTGGAGGGCCCACCTGCATTCCTTACCTGCATTTAAGCCAACCGGGCCATTTGCGCAGGTGCGTGCAGCATATGGCACCTGTGCGACCTCCGCTTAGCAGCTGGAGCATCGCAGGGTGGTTGGTGCGCATGTGTGCGCAGTGCGCGTGCCCAAGGTGGACGCCCAGCCCCGTCGCAGCATACCAGTTGCGACGGGATCCAGAAAGGGCGTTGGTACTTACCTGATACGCCTCTTCTCATAGTGGGGGGGGGGAGTATCCAGGATGGGTTGACTTTATCCTCTCGTTGATTGGACTGAGTCATCAGAGCTCTTGGTATAAGANCATAATAGTGGTGGGTTCCGGATCTCGTTCCAACCGGTACGCAGCGCGCATGCAACTTAGCACCTCCGCAACGCTCCAGCAGCTCAGCGAAGCGTCGCACAGGCGCTGTATGCTGCGTGCGCGGAAGCGCAGAAGACTTAAAAGACCGGTAAGGAGCTCAGGTGAGCCCTCCTGAGTACCGTACGGGAACAGTATCCGGTGCTCCGGGCTGGCTCCAGTACGCCCATACCGGGGCATACCGCCTGCAACCCACCACTGATTCAGAAGGATTTGCAGAAAAAGGAGAATAGATGCAGAGTTGGGGCAGGCTCTACAGTGGAGGAAATGAAATTGGGTAGAGGAGATGTCAGAAGAAGAAAATCATTGGAGGCCTTGTCTGTGTCTTCTGTGATGAATGGGGGTGATGGGATATACACCTGGGCAGCCCCTGAGTTGGGAAAACTAACCCAGCATTGAGCTCTTAGAACAGATGCCAGGCCCTTCTTTTAGGGAAGTGTCACATTGCGACCTGCCAACCCTCTACCTTGAGTTGGTAGGGTTCAACTGGCCACCTTCTTGTTCTACGCTATGTTGCCACACCACAGACAGGCATAGCCTTGACCCTGAAGACATGACCAGCTTCAGGGTTTTGGTGATGAGAAGATACACAAGGAAGCAGAGGACATTATGGTTCTAAAGTTCTGCTTCAAAAGTGGCCTTCAAATGGTGAGATGATGGTCTCCATCCTTCTTAAAAATAGGAGTTGAGAGTCAACCTGCCCTAGGGTGCCACCTCCTAAGGAACACTTTTCGATAAATGTCACTAAAACATGCACAACCCAACATTGCTAATCTACGGGAACCGGGTCACATTAGGAGACAAATGCTGGGGAAGACTTTAAATAAACACAACACATTACCAGGAATCAAAGCAGTGGTGGGCTGCAGCCGGTTTACATCGGTTCAGGTGAACCGATAGTTGCGACTTGCGTGTGGGCCTGCTCACCCGCCCCTGCGCTGTGCTGTCCTATTTAGCCTTTTTTTTGGTTTGCGAATCGGTCGTTAAGGTAAGTGCAGCCCACCTCTGGATCAAAGTGGTAGGGACCTGGGTTAGTTTTGTGTTTGGGACCCCAGAAAGCAATACTGCAGTCTGAGGCAACAAGCAACAGATCAATGGTGGGTTCTGGATCTTGGTACAGGTCCGGTGTCACCCACATGCATCGTACATGCCTGCGATGCCTCCGGATGCTCGGCGGAGCGTCGCGCAGGCGCCATGCATGGAAGCACCAAAGGCTTAAAGGACAGGTAAGGAGCTTGGCCGGGAGGGTGGGCCCTCCAAAGCACCATACTGGAATGGTACCCAGTGCTCTGGGCAGGCTCCGGTATGCCCATACTGGGGCGTACCGCCTGCAACCCACCACTGGGATGGATCAAAACTGGGCGTTCCCCCGTGTTTACAGGAATGGACAATGGAGAAGACTTCCCTCTGTCTCTTCTCTTTCCTACTGCTCAATTTTGTGGGATCTACTGTGTTTCCCAAAAAATAAGACAAGAGTCTTATTTTCTTTTGACCCCCGAAAGAAGTGCTTGGCCTTATTTTTGGGGAGGTCTTATTATTTTTGCGGTGCAGGAGGTGGCGAGCGTGATCACCTCATGGCTGTTGCTGTGTTGCAAGATTTTCAAGGAGGGCTTATTTTGGGGGGAGGGCTTATTTTAGTGCATGTGCTCAAAAGCTTGATTGGGCTTATTATCTAGGGAGGTCTTAATTTTCAGGGAAACAGGGTAATAAGTATGCTACCGTTTTTCTTTTTGTCTCCTTCCTACCCACAAAGTCTTTGCTACTGAAGATTTTCCCGGCCCTCCCAACAGCCAAGAGGTTTGCAGACCGGATGGAGAAAACAAGGGGGTATTCCCCCCCCTCCTTATAGATCCCCACACTGGTCTAGGGGAGGCGAGTGGCAGACGGGCGAGGGGCGGGAGGACACCAGATGGAGAGGAAATGGGACGAGGAGACAGAAAGGTTAACCACACCGACTCGTGCATCAGCGGAAGCCGGGGTGAATACAGAGCGAAGAACATACCGGTCTCAGCCAGTCCTCAAGGATCAGTGATAGTGATTCTGAAAAGACAACATGAGAGCAACAGGGCAGTTGAGACACTGAGGCAGAAGGGAGGACAGCTTGGAGCAAAACGCACGGGCTCGTGTAACCCCCCCACGCAGAGGCGGGTGAGAAGAAGACGGGAGGTGCGTCCCATGCTCGCCCCAGCACACAGAGAAGACAAGCAGAGTGGGCAGTCAGAAGATGTAGCTATGAACCAGTGTGCAGTGGACACGAAAAGAGACAATGGATTCCACGCAGCCATGTGGACTCCCACTCCCTGGGACCACGTCCACAGGGCATCCCCCCAGGCCAAGACAAGGTGATCCGCAGAGGCTTGAAGTGGGGTAAATGTATACACTGCAAACCACAACACTGCTCAACGAAAGGCCTCACCACAGTCAAGGTGACGTCTCTTGCTGTACCCGCCCTCCAACTTGGTGTCTGCTCGGCATTGGGGTGACAGCCCACATAACCCCATGCAGTTTGAGGGTCTTCGGTAGATGGAGGGGAGTCTACCCTGGGGGCATGTGAGGAACTCATCCCAAGCATTCCAAAAATGGGAAGGTAGAAGAACCCTTCTGGATACAGACAGATTCACACACAAACACGCACTGCCAAAAGTTTGATGTGCTTCTTCTCAATCCCACTCCGGCCGCCGTTTTTTCCCCCCTCTTGACGGGAAGGAAAAAAGAAGCGAGGGGAGAGAAAGAAGGACAAACTTGATGAGAAGATGAAGATGGTGGACTCCTGGCGAGAGGACAAGGCCATCTGGCAAGGGTGAACCAACTTATTCTATATACAAGAGATGGCCTAAGGAGCTTTGGGGTGCCATCTCAGGTGTTGGGTTATGGTGTTGGNACTCCTCCCCCACTATGAGAATAGGCGTATCAGGTAAGTACCAACGCCCTTTTCTAATCCGAGATCAAAAGAGTGGGCTTTTAAATCAATCTGATAAACCAATGTTTTACACTTAAGCCAGCCTTAGTCAAGCCAGAGCCTCCAAGTTTTTTGGAATTTACTAAGTAGGAAATCTGGTTTGAACAAAAATGCAAAAGCAAAAGTTTGTTCATTTGCACACTCCTAAGGGTAAGCAACAATGGCAGCTTTGGC